TGGTCCAGCGTCCATAAGTTCCCCCGAGCTCAGGGCAGCTGTCTCTGTGGGTTCCTCCAACATGACCGCCTTGGCTGGAGCAGTCCCTCGTCCCTTTCTTCTGCAAGACTCGGAGCCCAGCGCAACGCTCTTCTCTTCCATCAGTCACCGGATAGAGCGTCTCTGATGGCAATTAAGGAACTCATCAATCTGCTGCAGTAGATGGCCAGTTCAGGCACCCTGTCCACCATTGTTATGAGTCTTAGTTGGGGTCATTCTTGTGGGTTTCTGGGGGTTTCCCTGGCTCTAGGATTCTCCCTAGCCCGGAAATGGCCCTTCCTATTAAAGCATCTCTTTTGTTACCCCTCCCCTCAAAATCTGGCCTCCAACCCACTTCCAGCACCCAGCTGGCTCAACCTGGTCCCTCTGAGTTCCCATCCCTCCAGCCTCTTACCCCTGCCCCCAGTTTACACAGGAGATCTTTTCTACTTCCCCTTCCCAGGGAAACCTTGTATCCCTCTTTGGGCCTTCCTTGTTATCTATCCTCTCTGGGACTATGTAAACACAAACATTTGGAAGACAGTTTACCATCACGACCTTTATCAAGACAACAGTATCATGTTCTTCCCTCAGGTGAGTGCCTACCCTGACTTTTTAACGCATATTCCTCTTTTCTTACCGAATATAACCAGTGACGTTGGGACTGCTGGTGACCCCATTTTGCACGTAAGGCTTTGGAAACACACGAGGTGATCTGACTTTCTGTAGAACACCCAGCGAAGCGAATACAATCTGGTTAAAGCGGGTGCTTTTCTTTTGAACTGAAACATTGAAATTGAGGAGATGGAGAGCTGATTCCGTGGTTAAGAGCAATGACTGCTCTAGACACTCTGGTTCAGTTCTCAGAACCCACAGGCAGCTCATAGCCATCTGTAACTCCAGTTCCAGGGCATCCAAAGCCCTCACAGCCTTTGTGCACACCGGGGAAGCGTGGGTTGCACAGACTTACATGTAGACAAAACACCTATGCGCATAAAACAACGAAATGATAAAACACTTAAAAAAGAAATTTTAATTGATGCATAATAATTACACATACTATGAAGTACACTGTACTTTTACAAATTATATCTATTTAGTGTGTCATGTGTGCCGTGCTCATGTGTGCCGTGCTCATGTGTGCCGTGCTCATGTGTGCCGTGCTCATGTGTGCCGTGCTCATGTGTGCCGAAGCACGTGTGTGGAAATAGGGGACAGCTGTGGGAGCTGGTTCTCTCTTTCTCCCCGTGTGGCCCTCAGGGGTTGACGCAGGTCGTCAGGCTGGGCAGCAAGTGCCTTTACACATGGAGCCATCTGCCACATGATGTAATGATTCGCTCAGGGTTATTGTCACACCCATGCGTAGTGTGTGCATGTGTGTCGATGTGGGCACACGTGTGTGAATGTGTAAGAGGCTAAAGGATGCTGGATGTTCTGCTCCATCCTTCCCCACTTTCTTCCTCCTTTAAGATACAGTCTCTAACTGAGCTAAGAGCAAGGCCAACAGCCTGCAAGCCCCAGTCACCTCTTGTCTTCATCCTGTTCCTGGGTTCCAAGTGTATGTGTTGCTACCACCTAGCTTCTCTGGGATCTGAGCTCAGGTGCCCACTCCTACCCACGAACTCACAGCTCTGGCCCTACACTCATCCTTTGTTTGTGTTGTGAACATTTAAAATCCTTTCTACTGGTTGTTTTGAAACATTTAATTACTGGCTAACCAAGTATCACTAAGAACATTCACTTACTCATACTCACTACCAATTCAGTTGTCTTTACCATTCCCGTTTTTGTGTAGAAGATTATGCTAGCACATTATTCTAGCCTATTTAAAATATTAAAAAATCACATTTATTTAATGTCTGTGCACTTTAATGTGTGCACAGATACATTTGTACCACTGTGTGTGTGTTATTTGTGGGGGTCAGTTCTCTCCTTCTATCATGCGAATCTTGGGGACTGAACTCAGGTCATCAGACTTGGTGACAAGAGCCTCTACTTTTTGAGTCATCTTGCTAGCCTGCCTTTATCTACCAATTACCTATATCTACCCATTTAATATGAGAGCTCTTCCTATTTTTGTTTCATAATTTTCTGTTCTTGTTGAAGGGCTGTTATCATCTTCTTTGTCTTTTTGAGTCATTTAATGCCTTTATTCTAGAGTTCATTGAAAGTCATATTACACTCCTTAACCCATTAACCCTCATATTAACCCTCATTTCTCCACCCCCCCCTTCCTATGCTCTGGTGAAACCATTCTACTCTCTAGTCTTTTTTTTTTCTATCTTTCTTTTTTATGACAGGATGTCCTTGCACTTGCTGTGGAGCCAAAGCTGGCCCCAGACTCTGCCTTCTGAGGGTTGGGATTATAGTTGTGGACTCTTCATTCATGTTGCATGCTAGGTAAACATTCTAGGATTGGGATACAAGCCTGCCAGTGGCGGTGGCACTAGCACGGGAACATATTCTGTATGCTGGGAGTGTGCCTGGCCGGAGTGAGTCTGCTCCTGGGGGGCGGGGAGGAGTCCTGCTGCTCCAGGAGAACGGAGTTCATTTGCTTGCTACCCAGGGAGGCTGCAGAGGCCAGAGTGGAGTGGGTGCTGCCTCTGACAGACCCTTTTTCTGTTTCCTTGAACTGCCTAGGGTGCTTCAGTAGGAGCAACCTCACCCTCCTCTCTGTTAATTCCTCTCCTATGACCACAGGAAGGCCTAACCCACACTGCGTCTAAACAAGCACAGGAGTGTAGCTATCTGCCGCCCGCATCTGGGTTCCTGTGGAGGTGGAGCGGCCAGTGGGCTGGGCTCAGACCAAGCCCCAAGCAGGAGCGACTAAGGCAGGAGCATAGCAGTGAGGTGGAGCCCAGCCTCGCCGGCTTACATGAGAGCCCTGCTCAGCTCAACTTGGCCTGTCTTGCCTCCTGTCTGACCATCCTCTCAAGCTCAGCTTCTTCCATGGCATGTGCTGGCTCTGGCTGCCTTTTATATTTCGAAACTTCCCCTTTCCTTCCTTCCCCTTCTTTCCTTACTTCTCTCCCTCTCCTCCTTCCCTTTCCCGTCATCTTCCCTTCCCTCTCCTCCTCCCTCCCTCTCCTCCTCCCTCCCTCCCTCTCTTTCTCACTCCTTCCTTCTTTCCCTTTCTCTCCTGCTCTTCCCTTCCCTCCCTCCCCCCTTTCTCCTTCCTTCTTCCCCATCTCTCTTGCTCTTCCTGTCCTTCTCTCCTTCCCTCCCCCTCTTCCTCCCTCCTTCCCTGCTCTTCCAGCTACATCTTTTTCTCCTCCTCTTTCTCCCTCACCCTCTTCTTCCTCCACTCCTTCCTCTTCCATTTCTCCATTTTTTTTTTTTTACTAATATTTGAGGCAAGGTCTCACTATGCTACTCAGTCTGACCTCAAACTCATCATCTGCCTACCTCAGCCTTCCTCTCAAGCGTGGGAGTTACAGTCATCCTGTGTGACTCAACACAACACTCACCTAGTATATTTTCGAGATGTTGTTTTAGCTATGATACCCAGGCTGGATTCAAATTCCAGGACTGAAGGCATTTTTCCAGCTCAATCTCCCAAGAAGCTGGGAGTATAGAAGCACACAAAGATAATGATCTCTCTCCCTTGTTCTTCCTCTCTCTCTCTCTCTCTCTCTCTCCCTCCCTCCCTCTCTCTCTCTCTCTCTCCACAAGCCACATTGCACACATAGAGGTCAGAGGACAATGGGCAGGAGCTGGATCATCTTCTTCCAGCATATAGTTCTAGGACTTGTTGGTTTTCAGCCTATCAAATACACCAGCCTAAGTTCAGAGAGAGAGTCCATCTCAGTGGAATAGTTGGTGAGAGATGGACGAGGGATACCCTTTGGCCTCCATTTACATGCACAGGTGATTACATATATTCACTTGACCCACACAGATGCACACATGTAAATGAATAATAGAAATCAATCTTTAAAATGACCACCCATCAGTTAAGATCATGCATTGTTCTCATAGAGGACCCAACTTTGTTTCTCAGCACCCACATCCAGAGACTCACAGCTGCCTGTCATTCCTGCCCCAGGGAGATCTAATATCTTTGGACTCAGCTGGCACTTGCATCCATACACATACACACATGTACGCACACATACATACACAAAATTAAACAAAAATAAACCTTTTTAAAAAAGAGTAAAAAACCTAATAAACCAAGACGGACAACTGAGGAACAGCACCCCAGGTTGATGCTAGCCTCCATATATACGCATGCCCCACGTGTACACACACACACACACACACACACACACACACTCTAAACACATGAAACTTTAAGGGAGCCTTCACGTGTGAATAAGTGGTGGGCACAACGGATGGCTGTGAAATTGAACGGTGAGGTGGTGGGAGTTGGAGAGAGGCTGACTGACACGTGAGGTGATGGGTGGGTGATGGACAGTTGTGTAGGCCCTGCTGTACAGACGGGTGGTTGGATGGGTGGGCAGGCAGACGTGAAATTCTGGCCATGGATTGTGAGTTAAAATCTGGGCACAAATCACATGAATTTTGTTAGTATTTTTCATTTGTTATTCTTTTTGTTTTTAATATTTTTATTATTCTATTATGAATGTGCTATTTTTGTGTATGATATGACTGTTGTGTATGTGTATGTGTGAGAGAAGAGAGAGAGAAGGAGAGAGAGAGAGAAAGAGAGAGAGAGAGAGAGAGAGAGAGAGAGAGGAAGGAAAGAGCATGTGTGTCATGACACACTTCTGGAGGTAAGAAGTCAGGCTTGGCTGTTGGTCCTCGTCTTTCATTTTGTTTGAGACAGGGTCTTTTTGTTGTCCTGCCCCCGGATATGCCAGGCTAGCTGGCCCGGGAGGTCCAGGGATTCTCGCGATTCTGACTCCTTCCATGTCACCGCAGGGATGTTGGGATTATGTACTTGTGCAACCGTGCTTTGGGGTCTGTGGCTCTCGGGATTCAAACGCAGTTCTCATGCTTGTAAGACAAGCTCTTTAGCCAGCTCCGCAGCTCTCACCAACTGATTTTCTGAGCCACAGCTTGGCAAGTGAAAGTCTGTGTTTACACACTCTCTCTTTCTAGGTACGTCCTTCCTCCTGTCTTCCTCTGGATCCGATATTATTACGCAGCTTCTTGTATAGGCTGATGTTCTCAGGGGTAAGAAAAACATTTTAGAAAGAACTTGTGTCCTCCGAAGGGACAGCTCTTAAACAGATCTCTGTGACAACTGGGGCGTTCTTAAGCCATATACAAACTCACCCTCATTTGGCACCCCCTCCCCAGCTCCTTTCTCCTTATTACATTCCAATGTGGATCTGTCCCCAGCCCAGTCTCTGCTCAGTCTGATGCTCCAGTGGAGCTGGTAGACACAGAGCCAATTAGAGGGACGAGAATCACTTGGGTCAGCCTCCTGTCTCTGGTCCAAGACCTCTTTTATTTTTCCCAGGTGCCGAGGCAGCTATGAATGTGAATACCTTGGGTCTGCCCACCATGTCTCAGTGTCCCAGCAAAGCATTCTGGGGCACTCGCAGAGGTCCGATCATGCGCCGACAGAGGGAGTTTATGCCGGAAGAGAAAAAGGACACAGTTTACTGGGAGAAACGGAGAAAGAACAATGAGGCAGCCAAGCGGTCACGGGAAAAGCGACGTCTCAATGATGTGGCCATTGAAGGCAGGCTGACCATGCTGCTGGAGGAGAACGCTATCCTAAGGGCGGAGCTGCAAGCGCTCAAACTTCGATTTGGCCTTTTGCCTTCGGTGTGTGGTTCCCGGACGTCGCCCTTGCAGGCCTTGCTATGGAAATCTTCCTGGACTGGGGACTCCCATTCAGGGGCTGACTCGTTCTTATCTTTGCCTGGTGCCCATGACTGCTTCTTCAAACCATGTGCCTTGGATTCTGGGATTCCGGGTTGCTCAGGCTGCCTGGTGGCTCAGGGGTGGGCGGGCTTAGCTGCTTCCCCTAGATTCTTGCAGGAGTCAGAGCCCATGACCCCTAGGATGGTTGACAGAACCTTTCATTCCACCTTCCCAGCTGCTGTCTTTGGTTGTCACTTCTTAGATGGGCACGTGGGACCCAGAGCAGAGCTCAAGTCTTGTTGTAGGCTGTGGTCTCCTGTGCCTACTGGATCCCATGCCCTAGGGCCCTCAGATATATCACCGACATCCTCTGAGAGTTCCATGGGGTGTTCACCTGGTATGACCTGCCCTGTCCTAGGTGACAGGTCTGAGGGTCTGGCTCAGACTTCCCTGCCTCACAAGCTGCGCATCAAATCCCAAGCCGTAAGCAGCTTGTGTTGAGGATGGGAGGTGAGCCAGGCAAGCCTCCGAGAGCTGCCTCTGACCAGGCCCAGACTGGCAATGCAGTGGTTAAAACTTGAGTGTGGGTTTGGAGAAAGGACGCTAAGAACTGGGCAGGGCCTGTAGGCAGGTGCCCTCGCCGGGAGGGTCTGCTCCTAGAGCCAAGATCAGGGCTCTAGGTGAGGAGGGGATGAGTCCCACATTGGATAATGTCATAATTTTTACTTTGCTTTGAAATCTGAATTGTGGCTGCATCGTCTCTTCACTCCTCACACCCACTCAGCCATCGGTCCATCCAGTGCTTGTCGCTGTCCATTTCTGCTTCATCTTCACACCAGCCAATTCATCTTCCTCCATCTGCCCAATCATTTGCTCATCTTTTATATGTATCTAGTTTCATTTTCCCGCCTGTGTCTTTCTATCCATCCTTCCACCTACCTGCTCTTCTTCTTACCTTTTTTTTTTTTCTTTTTTTTTTTTTTTTTTTGAGACAGGATTTCTCTATGTAACAATACTGGCCATCTGTCCTGGAACTCACTCTGTAGACCAGGCTGACCTCAAACTCAGAGACCTGCCTGCTTCTTCTGCCTCCCTCAGTGATGGATTAACAGTGTGTGTCACCACCACCGACTCTTCCTATTCATTTAACCTTCTATTTATTGATCATCCATCCATCCATCCATCCATCCATCCACCCATCCATCCACCCACTGATCCATCCATCCATCCACCCACCCA